TCCATGTTACTCCTCGTTCACTGCGTTCATTTACTTTTTCTTTCCAGTCAGTGGTAGGTTCAGTTCTTAGACTTTCTTTTTTGATGTTCAGGGTTCCCAGATTGTTATCGGCTTCTGTTTTGCTTGTTTTTTTTGTGCCTTTGGTGCAGGGAGGCATTATGGTCCATGTGACTAAGTCACCATCTTGGCTCCACCTCGTAGATGAAACTTCTTGAATCTGAGATTTGATACCTTTCATCAGTTATGAAAATCTGCAGCCATTATCTTCTCAAATATTGCTTTTGCCACGTTCTATCTCTCTTCTTCTGGGACTTCAAATATGCATATATTAAACCTTTTCATGTGCCCCATGTGTCTCTTTTGCTCATTTTGTATTACCCATCCTTTTGTTTCTTCCAATGTAACTTCCAGTTTACCAGCTTTCTCTTTCACTGTGCCTAATCTGCTCTTCCTAATTTCAGTTATTTTATTTTTCAATTCTGGAATAATCATTTGATTATTTTTTATTGTTTTCAGTTCTCTACTGAAATTCTTCCTTTCTTCATTTAATCAGTTATTTTAAATCTGTGTCTAATAGATCCAATATCTGGATCTGTTTCAGAAAATCTGGAGTATTTTCTCTTGATTATAATCAGTTCTTATATGTTTTTAAATTATAAAATAGCTAGAGAGATAATTTGAGGCTCTAGGTGGTAATATCTTATCCCAGAGAGAATTTACATTTGCTTCTGCCAGGCAGTTAGGGTAGGGATAGATCATCTTAATACAATCAAGGATTTATCTTATTGGAAACTATTCAATGTTGTTAGGGCTGGTCGATTTCCAAAGACCAGCCCTACCAATGCTTAGCAAAGCCTGGAGTGTTTATCAGGTTCCATTTTCCTTGACAGACCCTAAATTCCAATTTTTGTCCTTTCTGAGGCTCCTGAAATCTCTGCTTAACTTCTCAGCCCCTTAGTTGCTACTTTAGAATCACAAATGCTTTGAGGAGAAAAGTGGTACCAAATGTCTTTTCAAATCTCTGAGCTTTCTTTATCTCTGGAATCCTGGCCCCTCAAGTCCTCGCAGCCCTGGTGTTTCTTCATTGCCATCAAATAGATTTTTAAAAATATTTTGCCTGTCTTCCTAGATAATCTCAGAAGGAAGGTTGGTCACATATATACTGCTTTGTCATAGCTGAAAGCAAATACCTAATTTTAAGCTGAATGCCCTTTGTCATGAATGAATGAATTTTGGATTCTATTAAATTTTAGATTTTTCCATCACTTAGTCTATTAATGTGGTGAATTGCACATTGCAATAGGAAGTGAATTGAGGAGTGTTTCCTCTTTTTCTACTCTCTGGAAGAGTTTTATAAGTTTGAAATTATTTGTTTCTTGAATATTTGTTAAAACTCATCTCTATAATGTCTGGAACTGGAGTTGTCTTTATGAGAAGATTTTGAACTACTACTTCAGTTTCTTTAATGCAATAGGACACTTCAGATTTCTATCTTTTCAGTTTTGGTAATTGATAGTATTCTCTGAACTTGTTTATTTCATCCAGGTTTCCAAATTGATATATAGTTATGTATGTAGGCAACCACAGATCTGCTTTTTGTCACCACAGATTGTTTTTATAGTTTTGCATGTTCTGTGACTTCATATAAATGGATTTATATAGTACATATTCTTGTGTCTTGTTCCCTTTGCTCATCATAATGTTTCTGAAATTCATTCTTGTTGTGTGTATTAGTGGTTCATTAATTTTTATTGCCGAGTAGTATTCCATTTTATGGGTATACTACAGTTTATCCGTTTTTCCATTGATGGGTATTTGGGTTGTTTCCAGGTTGGTGCTATTATGAATAAAACTGCTATGAAGATTCATTTACAAGTCTCTGTGTCGACATATATTTTCATTTCTCCTGGGTAAAGAGCTAGGAGTAGAATCTGGACGATATGGTAACTAAATGTGTAACTTTACAGGAAGCTGTCAAACTGCTTTCCAAAGTGGTTGTACCATTCATTGCTGTACCACCAGCAATGAATGAGAGTTCCAGTTGTACCCAATGGTCACCAACACTTGATATTGTCAGCCTTTTTAATTTTAGTCATTCTAGTGGGTGTGAAGTGGTATTGCGATGCAGTGAATTACTTAATATAGCTATTTTAGCTGTGCATGGTCTTGTAACTCCCACATAGTGATTGGGTGGGACTGTGCAAATAAGGTGCTTGTGGACAGCTTGGTAATAATGCAAATAAGGTGTATGGAACTGTAACGAGGGGATTGGTCAGTTTTGCCATCCTGCTAGGCTTAAAGGGAGCCAATCCCAGAAGCAGAGGGTACCTCACTACCATCAGGAAGAGCCAGGAGTGGAGTGTGTCCTTTGGACCCGGGGTACCTACACTGAGAACCTCCTAGAGCCAGGAAAAGAGACAGCTGTAACACCAGAGACGGTGACAAGCAGTGGCAAGCACAGCAGAATCCAGCAGCAGAGAAATGGCTGCAACAGAACCAGGAGACTGATGGCTCCATTGGGCAGTTCCTGTGGGCATGCTGACCATGAAGCAAGAGAGCTAGGACAGGAGGCTAGCTGGAAGAGTAGAGTTCCTCTGGGCACCTGTTGGCAGAGCTAGGCTTGCCAGCCCATGGAGCAAGAGAGCTGAGTGCCTTCAGGTGGGAGGCTTCCTGGCTGAGTGGAGTGCCTCCTGGCACTTATTAGCAGATCTAAAGGAGCTTTGTAACACTTGCCTGAGCAGGGCAGAGGCCGAGGGCTAAGCCTGGCCTGAGGGGGCAGAGAGGAGCCTGTCCTGTCCAGGGGACTGGAAGGAGCTTGTCCTCAGGGGGCCAAGAAGAGCCCTGCGTGGCTGAGAGGAGCTAAGATAGCTGTCCTGCACTGAAGAAGGGAGATTTTTTTCTATGTGCTTCTTGATCTTGATCCCGAGTTATAGCCTATTGATCCTGATCCTGAGTTTTAACCTGTTACTTCCCTAATAAACCCCATAACTGTGAGTGTGGTCTGTGAGTTCTGTGTGACCATTACAACAAATTATCCAATCCAGCAGAGAGGTAGAGAGTGCCATGGGAGGTACTGCTGGTGTCAGAATTGGTAAAAAAAAAAAAAGCTGGAGGGTGAAAGTATGTTTGACCTCCACCTCACAGGAGTCAGCTTTGAGCTGATGCTGATGGTGATTCTCCCCTGTCATGAAGTTAGAGGAGGTCAGATACCCCACTGCCATTTTTACACTCATTATGGCTTTAATTTGCATTTCCCTAATGACTAATGATGTTGAGCACCCTTTCATGTGCTTATTGGCCATTCATCTGTCTCTCTCTCTTCTTTTGTGAAGTGATTGTTCACATCTTTTGCCCATTTTTTGTTGGATGCTTTGTCTTCTTGTTGTTGAGTTGTAAGAGTTCTTTATTCTGGATATAAGTCCTTTGTTGGATATATGTATTTTAGTAATACTTTGGCTTTAAAGTTTATATTTTGTTGCATAATAATATCACTACACTAGTTTTCTTTTTGTTAATTTTTTACATAGTGTATCTCTTTCCAAGGAGCCCTGTTGGCACAGTGATTAAAGCACTCAGCTACTAGCTGAAAGACCCGCAGTTTGAATTCACCAGCTGTTCCACGGGGGAAAGATGTGGCAGTCTGCTTCTGTAAAGATTTACCGCCTTGGAAACCCTATGGGAAAGTTCTACTCTGCCCTGTAGGGTCTTTATGAGTCAGAATCAACTCAAAGGTGGTAGGTTTGGTTTTTATATCTCTTTCAACTAGGAGACAAAACAGAGGTATTGATTCTTCTCAAAAATCTGTTCCCTTTCTTCACCCTGGCCTCAGTCTTCCACATTCACCCATCGCTCAGTTTCCAAACCCAGGAGTAGTCCTTGATTTCTTTTTTTCCCCTCACATTTCACATTTAATCTATGAGAAATCCTATCAGCTTTACCTCCAGAATATATCCTGAATCTACTCCCTTTTCACCATCTCCACCACTGTTCTCCCCCTATTGAAAACCTTCCAGTGGCTTTCCACCACACTTGAAATAAAATCCAAACTGCTTGCCAAGACCTATGAGATCTGACTGGTCTGCCCCACCTTTTCCACCCTCGTCTCCAGTCCGTCCACGCCTCTCCCTCCGTTGCTCCCTGGGATTCGGCCACACTGACCTTCTTACTTTTTTCTGAAAAGGTCAAGGTCATTCCTGTTGGAGGGCTGTTGCTTTTGCTGTTCCTTCCCCCAAATCTTTACCTGGCTTCCTCTTCCTCATTTAGGTCTTGACTTCAACATCACCTCTCAGAGGGGCCTTCCCAGAGCCATTTTTCAAAAGGAGTCACTCCCACATTACCCTGTTTTATCTTCCTTACTGTGTTCACCAGCTCCTGGATTAATCTTGTTGATGTGATTGTTGTCTGTTGTCCAGGGTGTAAATTCCTGACAGCAGGACTTCATCTGTCTCGTGCACTGCCGATTCTGTAATGTTGAGAATAATGCTCAGCACACAATATGTGGTCATTGCTGACTGACTGTTCTCCCTTCTTTGAACTTCAGTGTTCTCAGGAAGCTAGTGTTATGGACCTGCATTTCCCATCTGACATCCCCACAGCACCCAGAGCTGTGCCTGGTGTACAGCAGGTGCTCCATGAATGCCTAAATGAATGAGCATACGGCAAAATAGATACTAATACTGGCAATAGCAGCTACTGTGACAGAGGCATTATTACCCATATTTATAGATGAGAAGACTGAGGCTTAGGGGCAGTGATCTACTTCAGGTCCTAGAGCTAGTGAGGAGCAGAGCCAGGATTCCCACCCACATCTTTCTGGCTCCAGAGCCTAAACTAACCAGACTATTCTGTTTCAGCCAGTGGCTACTTGGATGGTTGGCTGGATGGACAGATGGACAATTGGGCTGCGTAGAGGGACAAGTGGTCATATGTTCTCTAGGTTTCCTTCCCCTAGCCCTGAGAGGCTGAGTCCATGGCCCAAACTCCACTGTCTCTTCCTTCAGCTTTCCAAACCCCAAACATTGGCGAAAAGTGAAAAAGTGTGCAGGAACGAAGGAGCTGGTGTGTTCCCTGATGTGCCTGGAGAAACAGGACCTGTACAACAAGTTCAAGGGGCGTGTGAAGGCAGTTTCTGCCAGTGCCACCTCCCCCTGGGTGGAGTCCCAGTACCTGGATTACCTTTTTGAAGGTAAGTCTGTGGGTAAGGGACTGAACAGGGAGGCTATCTGTCCAGGAACTTTGCTTAGTGATGTTGCTGCCCTAGCCCTTTCTCTCCCACTTTCCCAAAGCAGAGAGGAACTCTCTGGGGCAGCCTACCATGGGTCCCAGGCTCGTGTCTGAGTAGCCTGACTTCATGGTGGGGAGTTAGGGGAGTTCCAGCCAGACAGCCAGCCCCAGCAATTCAGCTTGTACCTTCTAGTAATAATGTTCATTGTCTTTTCTTGAGCACCACCTTGGTGAGATATATGGAGAGAGAAGTGATCACATGTTCCCTAACAAGGCATATTACATACTTATTCCTTTTTTTTTAAAGGTTCAAATTCTGTCTTTAAGAAACAAATTTCTTTTTGTTTGGTTTCTTTTGTTATGATTGCAGAAGTAATTTCAATAGACTCTAGAAATTTGGGGGGATAAAGAAGATAAAAATAGAGAAAAAAATCCCTTATCATTACCACATTCAGAAATCACCAGTGTTAGCATTGAGTGAAGAGGCACACTTTTTTCCCCAGTTTATTTTGTTTCTAATCTTTATAACAAACGTGTGAGATTTATTCTTATATCCCTTTAGAAAAATAAAAAATAAAGCAAGGCTCACAGAAGCTAAGTTAACTTGCCTGGATACACAGTTATAGTAAGTGGTAGAAATAGGATGTGAATTTGGATCTTTCTGACCTTGGACAAGAAGACATTGGGCCAGACTTAAGAGTGGAGGAAGGGTAGTAACAAGGAGAGGATAAATACCCAGACAGTGCTCTTGTGGCGCTTAGATCTGCAAGTTGCTGTCCAGGCTTCTCAAATAGCTTGTGGACAAAAAAAGATCTGAAGGAAGGAGAGGGAAGGATTGAAGGATGGTAGGAAAGGTTGATAGAGAAGGAAGAAGAGATTATTTGATTTGAATGGGAAGGAATTAGCTGGCTGAATGGGTAAAAGAAGGAAAGAGGTGGATGGTAGGAAGAAAAAGAGTATAGAGAGGAGGAAGAAGTGATGGGTGAATGGGAAGGAAAGAGGCTAGATGGAAAGACAGATGCTTGTTAGGAAGGAAATAAGTATGAATGGAAAGGTGAGGAATAAGAAGGAAAGGCGGATGGGCGTATCAAGGGGTAGATAGTATAGAAGGAAGGCTGGCCATCCAGGAAGGGCAGGAAGGAAGGAAAAGAAGAGAAGTTGTATAGATAGATAGGAAAGGAAGAATTGATGGATGGGAAGGATGGAAGAATAGAAAAGTAGGTTGACTGGCTAGATAAAAGGAAGAAATTGTAAATGAAAGGATGGGTAACAGGAAGGCATTTTGGCTAGAAAGAAAGGAAACAAGGAAAGAATGGTGATTGGGAAGAAAGGAAGGATAGGTAGGAAGGATGGATGAATGGGAAGGACTAAAGAAGGAAGCATGGGAAGGCAGGCAGGAAGGCTGTCTGGCTAGAAGAATGATAGCTGAACCACTGCAACTGTTGAATGGATAGGAACAAAGGATTAGAAGAATAGAGGGAAAGATGTAGAGAGGCAATTATATTTATTAAAAAAGAGAGAAAGAGAAAGAATGAACTTGCCTCCTCCTCCCTGAAGCTTTCCTGATTCTCCTGCAGCATACTCCAAGCCCGAATGACCCTTCCCTCCTCTACAGTACCACCACACTTTTCCTGCCCTCACTAGTGGCCTGTTCACTTTATTGAGTTTTGATAATTTTCTTATTTTGTTTTCCCCTAAGCTCTCAGTTCCTGGAAGGCATGATCCAAGAAGGCTTTGTCTCCTCATCCCCCTCAGCTCCCTGCCAGGACCTGGTACATAGTCAATGTCCAGTAGATGGTTCCTGAACAAATAAGCAATGGCATTGTGGGGAAGCAACATGTTTACCCTGAACACAAACATGGGACAGAGATGACTGGTGTGGTCATTGCTCTCCACTGGCTGGGAGTAAGGGAAGGCTGCGTAAAAGAAGTGGCATTTCAGCTGGACCTTGAAAGATGGTGTATTAGTTTTCTCTTGCTGCCATATTCCTTGTCACATTGCCCCCCCCCCCCCCGCCGCCTTCAAACCACTGGGCAAGCCTAGATTGCTTTGTACAGACTCTTAAAAATTAGGACGCTAAAGACCCTGTTGGTGAGGGCTGGGAAGGAAGGTGAGAAAATTTAAACCACCTGAGAGAATACCTATATAATATGAACACACTGTTAGTAGAAACAAGGATATTAAAGGCACTGCCTCACAGAAGGAAGTGAGGAACATGTTATTGAGAACCTGAGGAAGGGGAATCCTTGCTACAGAAACCCATAAAGTTTTTGAGAATTTTATAGCAGCAGACACATTGCCAGCTTGGACTGAAAGGGTCAGAGAGAGTATGAAATGAAAGGTGGCTGATGGACCCTCCAGATTCTACTGTCAGGAAGCAGGCTGTCAAAGCTACTTAGCTACAAACAGTGCTATCTTTTGTGAAAAAGGATAACTCAGAGGGTGGGGCCACGACCCCAAAGGGCGGAGCTGAGAGCCAAGGAGAATTATTTACAGAACTTGAAACCTATTTGAGCTTGCCCAGCTGAATTTCAGAACTTCTTTGGAGAATGGCATCAGCAAATTGACAAAGTACGCAACTCCAAATGCTAGTCCCTCTACAGAAACATCAAAGAAACAGGCAGAAACTTTCAGAACCAACTTTGTCAGAACTCTGAAAAACAGTCAAAAGTTTACAGCAACCAAGTGAACACTGAATCAAGAAAAAGGCAACTTAAAAAGGGTAGGAAAGCTTTGTGGCATTTTTACTTGCCTTTGTCCCATCCTCTCCCCAGCTTGACAGCAGTCTTGAAGATAGCAGTTGCATTCCCAGTGTGTGACCCTGGTTCCTGGTTCTAGAGGTAGCACAGCAGACCTTAATTGCAAATTATTGTGTTTGTCTGTTTTCCTCTATCTGGGGGTTACCTGAAGGACTGATGCAAGGTGCTCATCTCTCTTTCACCTAACTCAGAACTTACTCACGGTGGGAAAGTAGCAGAGGTTGCTCTAAAACATTGTGAGGCAAACAAAAAACTCACAGACACCTGGGACAAAAGATTACTATTGAGATATACAATAGACTGCCTAAAGCCTGGGAGGAAAACCTGGGGAGAGTTTCTTTGGGAAATTAGAGGATTCAAAGTTCACGTATGGGGAATTTAGAGAGCCACTCTCATTCCCAGTGCAGAATGCATGCTCAGAGAAGACTGTAAGTTTTACATCTGGCTGATCTATAGACTCAGTACAAGCAGGGAGTGAAAAACTCTAAGGTGGAGTTGTGAATGTCCTGGCTAAGTGTTAAAGGAGTGCCCCAGCAAGAGCCAGTCTTCAAAGACTGGGAGAGGTGTTTTTCTTGTTTGTCTTTAGCTCCTGGTCTTCAAGGAAATCTCCGTCAAAATACTGACTGAACACAAGTTAAAGGAACAGAGACTTCAATAATCACACACAACAAAATTACAGTCTTTGCAAAAGTGGAACAGTCATTAAACAGTTGACTGCAGCCTTTAACAACGAAGAACATCAAACTCTGGGGAAGGGAGAGAACTTGATTTCCAGAGTTACCACATTATAATATTCAACTGTCCAGCTTTCAACAAAAATTAACAAAGCACACAAAGAAACAGGAAAGTATGCCCCATTCAAAGGAAAAAAATTAATTGACAGGAACCATCCCTGGGGGAGCCCAGACATTGGACTAACTAAACAAAGACTTCAAATCATGGACAAAACACTAAAGAAAACCAGGAAAATGATGTATGAACAAAATAAGAATATCAATAAAGAGATGGAAATTATAAAAAAGAACCAAATAGAAATTCTGGAGCTGAAAAGTACAGTAACTGAAATTAAAAATTTGCTAGAGAGGCTCAACAGCTGATTTTAGCAAACAGAAAAAAATGAATCCACGAACTCAAAGATACGACAGTTGAAATTATCCAATAGGCAGAATAACCTCCCCCAAAATTTCCACGTCCTAATTCCTGAAACCTATGACTATGTTAGGTCACATGGCAAAAAGGTCTTTACAGATGTAATTCAGGTTATGGAACTTAAAATAAGGAGATTAGCCTAGATTTTCCAGGTGGGCTCAGTCTAATCACATGAGCCCTTAAAAGCAGAGCATTTTCTCTGGCTAGAGGCAGAATGGATGTTATAGAAGGGAAGTGAGAGAGATTTGAAGCATGAGAGGACTCAATGTGCTATTGCTGGTTTGATAATGGAGGGGCAACATGACAAGGACTGCAGGTGGCTCTAGGAGCTGAGAGAGACTCCCAACTGACAGCCAGCCTGGAAGCAGGACCTCAGCCCTACAACCAGAAGGAGCTGAATTCTCCCAACAACATGAATGAGCTTGGAAGTGAGTTCTTTCCTTGAGCCTCCAGATAAGAGCCCCAACCAGTCAACACCTTGATTTTGGTCTTATGAGATCTGGAGTAGAGGAACCAGTGAAGCCCACCCGAACTTCTGATCTGCAGAACTATGAGATAATACATTTATGATTTTAAAAAGCCTACAAGTTTGTGGTAATTTGTTACAGCAGCAAGAGAAAATGAATACAGATGGGTAGGATTCTGACAGGTCCGTGATAAGTGAAGGGCATCCCAAGGGGAAGGGACAACACAAGTAAAGACAGGTCATTTCACCTCTCTAAGCCTCAGTTCCCCTTTCTGTAAAATGGGAGTAGTGATATCTCCCTCTATCCTTGTGAAGCTTAAATAGAATGGCTAAGTGGTGCACAGTAGGTGTTAACAAATGTTAATGCTTCTTTCTTCTTTCCAAGAGAGCTGTCTGGGCTGGATGAGGAGCAGGCCTACCTACAGGCAGGGGGATAGACACAGTGTGGCCACTACAGGGTACTGATTGGTCCTGTTCTGTTTCTGCCAGTGGAGCCAGCCCCACCCACCCTTGTCTTCACCCACACGGAGGAGATCCTGAGCATCAATGCCACATACCAGCTGCCACAGTGCATGACCTCAGTGGATCTAAAGTATGAGGTGCACTTCTGGAAGGAAGGGACCGGGAACAAGGTGAGAAACCTCTTTCCTGCCCCCCGACTGCACCCCCCCCACTACCCCACTAAATCTTGCTGCTTCTCACCCTCCCAGCCTGCTTCCCACACACCTTCTTCAGGAAGCCTTCCCCAGTGTACCTCCCACTCCTGGCAGTGACCTCCTGCGCACAGCACAACTGAGCTGGCATCAGTCATATCTCAGTGGCTAGTGTCTGAGAATGTCTCATAGTAAACAAAGGAAGCCAGGGCCCACCCTGATGGAGATCCAGGGGCCGGGCAGTGACTCTGTACACTGTGACTAGACTTTGGCCCAGCCTGCCCTCCTCTCCCAGAGAGGCCACATACAGGGCACCCTGGCCCTGTATGTCACAGGGGCAACAGCACAGCAGCTTTTGTTTGTTTATTTTTTTAATTATGAAAACCTGCCCCTCCCCTTTTTTTCTAATAAAATATGGCTGAAGTAGCATGAGCTACAGGGGGCCTACTTGCCAAGTCACCAGGTTCATTACAGAAAAACCAGAAAATACAGATAAGCTCTAAAAAGAAAATCGAAAGCACCCACAGATGACCACTAATAGAGCTTTCTTTGGTGTATAGCCCATTCCAGACTTGTTTTGCGTGTGTGTGTGTGTGTGTGTGTGTGTGTGTGTGTGTGTGTGTGTTTGTGTGTGTGTTTATTTATGGCAGGGATCAGCAAACTTTTTCTGTAAAGGGCCAGATAGTAAATATTTTCAGCTTTACGGGCCAGATGGTCTCTATCATAACTCCTCAACTCTGCCATTGTATCATGAAAGCAACCATAGATTATATGTAAATAAAACAACATGGCTATGTTCCAATAAAACTGTATTTACAAAAACAGATAGTGGGGCAGATACGACCTTTGGACCATAATTTGCTGTCCCCTGATTTATGAAATTACCACCATTAAATTGTTTTATAGCCTGCTTTACACAATTAACAATACACTGCAAACATCTCGAGGTATTTTTCTACAAAGTAATAGTAAAGGTTGCATCAGATTCCATTGCAGGACTGTCTGTGCCTTCACTTCTATGAAATTGGTCACTTCTTGTTGAACATGAAGGTAATATCCCCTTTTTCATACTCTGTGTTGTTAGACAAGTTCTTTGATCTTTCTGAGCTTCAGTTTACCTGATATTAAACATGAGTAAACAGGTTAACACCTTCACGATAAAGGACTATTGTGAAGATAACACCTTTAGAAAATGCTAGACAAATATGATCCATATATTACATACCATCAGGCAGTCTTATGGATGTGCATCTAATAAACCCAGCTTCCCAAGCTACACACACGCACACACATTCAACATTCATTCAGCTAACATTTACTCATAGCCTCTTCCATCCTGTACAGTCTAGTTCAGGGGCCAATAGTAACTATTTTCAGCTTTCCAGGCCATATGGTCTCTGTCATAACCACTTAACTCTGCCATTGCAGCACAAAAGGAACCGTTAACCAGTTGCCGTTGAGTCAGTTCTGACTCGTGGTAGCCCCATATGTGCAGAGGAGAATTGCTCCATAGGGTTTTCGAGGTTGTGACCTTTTGGAAGCAGATCACTGGGGCTTTCTTCTGAGGTTCTCTGAGTGGGTGTGAACCACTAACTTTTCATTTAGTAGTCAAGAGCTTAACCGTTTGTGCCACCCAGGGACTGCAAAGGCAATGTGAAGATGTGTTTATGTATTTCAATAAAATTGTTTACAAAAACAGATGGTAGATCGGATCTGGCCCACGGGCTGTAGTTTGCAGACCCCTGTCCTCGTTCATTCTTTCTTCTACAGAACCAGCTTTCACTCTCCTGCTCTCCTGCATATTCTGGATCCTAGGGATATACATCTGCATCCAGTATGGCCCCTGACTTTCAAGAACCTCACAAATGTTCTAGACCAATATTATCCAATACAAATATAATGCAAGCAATAGATGTGATTTTAAATTTGCTAGTAGTCACATTGGAGCTCTGGTGACACAGTGGTTAAGAGCTCAGCTGCTAACCAAAAGGTCAGCAGTTGAAATCCACCACCCGCTCCTTGAAAACCCTATGGGGCAGTTCTACTCAGCCCTGTTGAGTCACTATGAGTCGGAATCGATTCGACGGCAACGGCTCTAGTGGTCACATTAAGTAAAGGAAAAAGAAACAGGTAGTTTAATTTTAATAATTGATCTTATTTCATCCATCAGATCTAAAATGTTATCATTTTAACATGTGATTGATGCAAAAATTATTAAGATAGTTTTAATTCTTTTTTTCCCTTAGTCTTTGAAATCCAGTGTGTATTTTACACTCACAGCACATCTCAGTTTGGACCAGCCACATTTCAAGTGTTCAGTAGCCACATGTGGCCTGTGGCTTCTGTATTGGACAGGGCAGCCCTAGCATTTCCTCCACCTGAATGACCCCCCTAGTAGATTGGAGCCTCTGAGGTAGAAGCCTAAAGAGCCTGCCCCTCAAAGTGAGGGAGCAAGAGGGAGGTGTAGAGGACCAGGAGGCCCTGGTGGGGGTGCACATGGGAACAACCCTGAGTAGCAGAGCTCATTTTGAACCCAGGCTGTCCCTACCTTGAGATTCAGTTCAAAAACCAGGCAGCATTGGAAAGTGCTCCCTCACGCTTGAATGCTAATGCAGAAAAAGAAAAGAGGGTTGAGGGAGCTCAGCTGTACCCTGCCTGCTGATCCCACCCCAGCCTGGCCAGAAAGGTCAACCCCCAGCAGGTCTGCTCACCTCCCTCTCTCCAAACAGACCGTATTTCCCATCACTCCCCACGGCGAGCCAGTCCGGATCCCCCTCCAATCAGCCGCAAGCAGACACCACTGCTTCAGCGCCAGGACCATCTACACCTTGATTTCCTCCAAATACAGCGAGCTCTCCAAGCCCACCTGCTTCTTCCTGGAGGCCTCAGGTGGGTGCACAGTGGTGCCGAAGCGGGGACATTTCCTTTGGCCTCAGGAGCTCCATAATATGGTAGTTAAGAGTGAGTTCTAGAGACAGATTCACCTACATTAAAATCCTACCTCTACCATACTCATTGCGTGTCTTTGGGCAGTTTACATACCTTTCTGAACCTTGGTTTCTGCAATCTGTGTTGTTGTTGTTGCCAGCTCCTGTCAAGTCAGCCCCCAACCCATGGCGACTCCTTGCACAATGGAACGAAATACTGCCCAGTCCTGCATCATCCCCATGATGGATTGTGGATCTGACCATTGTGATCCATAGAGTTTTCATTGGCTGATTTTTGGAAGTAGATCACCAAACTTTTCTTCATAATCCGGCTTAGTCTGGAAGCTCTGCTGAAACCTGTTCAGCATCATAGCAACACTCAAGCCTCCACTGACGGACAGGTAGTGGCTGCACTTGAGGTACATTGGCCGGGAATTGAACTTAGGTCTCCAGTTTGGAAGACGAGAATTCTACCGCTGAACCAGCACTGCTCTCCCGCAATCTGTAGAATGGATTTAGTCCCATGAGGATTAAATAGGATGATGTGTGTGAAGCTCTCAGCACGTATGCAGGTGATAGATGGGAGCTGTTGTTGTGATTCTGTACTTACTGCTATTTTTCCTTTCTTAGGAATCAACTGGCCATTCCTGGTGCTGCTGCCACTTCTGCTGTCGTTGCTGTTGATAATTGCTACAGGGGCTGTGATCTGGAAGAACTCCAGGAGGAATGCCTGGTTTCAGCAGACAAAGATGCCACAGGCCTTGGTATAATGAATTTGGGAAGTGGCAGACAGGGAGGGGTGTTGAAGAGTAAGGAAGTGAAACTAGATTTACAAATAGTCTGGGTATCTGAAGTGCCTTATAAGTCCCTTTTAGTTAAATCACCTCATCTCTGCTAAGGATTTGTCAGGTGCCCAGAGCAGAGCCCTCAGCCTTAGAACTCAGGAGATATGCCTAGAAGGGGAGGGTGAAGGGTGGTGCCAAAAGGGGAAGTCTTAAAAAAGCCCCAACTAAGGCTAAACTTAGTTTGCAGTTTAACCAAGGAGCAGCAGAATTTTGTCACTTGTCTGCTGGCTCACTTTGAATCTGGGGCCAGCTGGGGTAAGGGAAGCCTTGAGAGGTCCAGTAGGTCAGAATCATTCTGCTGAGGGCCTGGGAGTGAAGCTTGACCATGGGTGAGGCTCAGTGGGCAGTCAGGTGTGAGTGGGGGCTTTGAGGATGGATTTGGGGTATCCCTGTGGCACACAGGGAGTATTTTCGGGGTTCCTGGCTCCAGGACCTGCAGGAAATCCCATGGACTATCCGGGCAACCTGTGTGGTAGACACATCTGTGCCCTGTCCCTCTCCCCTCAGCCTTCCCATTTACAGCACTCCAGCTTGACTTCCAACAGCCAGCACCTGCCTCCAGGTGGCATTCGCTGGTTGGTAGAGTCCACTCTGCCCATACATGGGGCTGGGAGTTAGTGCCACCACAACCCCTCACATCCTTCAGCCAATGACTGGCAGAAGCTGGTGGATAAATACCCCAGGCCCTGTGCGCCTCGGTAGGGTGGCTCTGAGGTGCGAGCTCTGCAGTGGCTCCCTGAGCTCCCCAGCAGGATTGAGCTCCAGCTGCCCACAGTGGTAACTTGTTTGATGACACCCCTTTATTGGCTGCTTTTGTGTTTGCTGGGATCCCCTCCCAAAGAAACTGCTTGCATTTGAATACTTGTCTCAGTGTCTGTTTCCAGACCTGAAAAGTTATTTAAAAAGTCATGTTTCAAGAGATCCTAAATTTTCTGCTCTTCTCTCCCCTCCCCAAATCAGGACTTTTCTGGACACATACACCCCATGACAGCCTTTCAGTCCAGCGGCCTGGAGTCCCCAGATGACTTGACCATCTGTCCCCAAAAGGAACTGACCAAAAGGGTCCAGCTGACCCCTGGAGTCAGGGCCTCTGCCACCCTGCAGGCAGGGTCTGAGAAGGACAGTGTTGAGACTGAGGAGGAGGACCCAGGTGACAGTGTCGCCTTCCAGCCCTACATTGAGCCACCCTCCTTCCTGGGGCAAGGATGCCAGATTCCACAATGCTCTGAGGCAGACGGGGTGGACTTAGGGGGTCCCCAGACTCTGATCCACGTTGAAGGTTCCTCTGCTTCAGGTTATTCAGGCAGAAGCTGGGCCAGCACTGTGGACTCCTCCTCCTGGGACGAGGCTGGGCCCTCCAGCTATTTGGCCAAGAAGGGGCCGGGCGAGGGGGTGGTTGGGGACAGGCACTGGGAACCTGTCCCACTACCTGAAGTCTCTGAGGACTCAGGTTTCCAGGAAGAGCCACCGAAAGATGACCTCTCTGCCTGGGCTACCTGGGGCTCTTCAGCAGAGCCAAATCTGCTCCCTGGGGAGCTTCCAGTGTCTCTTAGGACACTGACCATCTGCTGGGACAGCAGCCCAGAAGAGGAGGAGGAGGAAGAAGATGGGGAGGAATCGGAAACTGAGGACAGCGGCACCAGCAGCTGGGAGGCCGAGAGCTCCCAGAAGACCGAGGGCAGGGGTGGGTTACTCGGGCATTACATGGCAAGGTGAGCCACACCCCTGCTTCCCACCAGGTCTGGTGCGGCTGCCAGGCTGCTGGATTCCCCAAGTACCCAAGATGCTGCTGAGACTTGAGAGCCTGCATACAGCATTGAGACGCCGGAGGATTCTCTTGGCACCTCTGGACACCCAACATGCAATAGGTGAGGTCAGGTCACAGTGGACGTCAATGGCTGGCACCACCTAAGGGCCATCTGGAATTTATGAGGAGGGGTGATCTTGCCGGAGTCACCTCTGGTCTAGCAGAGCCTCATGCCTTCCTCCAGCACCCTCTGAGCTCCCTCATCTCCTGAATCATGCCCTCCCAGTTCATCCATCCCCTAGGGGGCGCCCAGGTGGAGAAAAATCCGATTGGCTGCGAGTGTTTAAAGGGAAGGGAAAGAGTGTTCATCATTCAAATCCCAGTCCCTGGAGTCATGGAACTGCACGGTCTTTCATATCAGACAGACCTCGATTCACATCCCAGCTCAGCCATTTACCGGCTGTGTGACCTTGGGTAAATGACCTTCCCTCTCTGAACCTCAGTTTCCTCATCAGCGACACCAACTGGGTGTGGTGGGGGCCCAGGGAGATCTCAAATGTGTGCAGCACGGGGCCTGCCACATCATCGGTGCTCTGTACCTGGTGGTTCTAAGGAGACCCCAGGGCTTCTCCCTCCTGTAGCCCCCAAACTCAGAGCAGCTGGAAGCGTTCATCCTTCAGCCTGCCTTACTTCTCATCTACCTCGTTCCTCCCACCCTCCAAGCCCCCTATTTCCTGGTCAGGAAACTGAACTCTCAGAAGTCAGAGCCCCAGCAAGGGGGACTCTGGTTCCCGTCCCTTTTCTTAGCAATGGGAACTCTGCTTCCAAGGCAAGGAGCCAAACCATCTGCCTTCCAGGACATCTGATTTGCTGAAGTTGGGGGAGCAACACAGCATGGGAGTGGACTCCTGGGCCTGTAATCACTGGACAGTATGTTAGACCCTTTGGCTGACTCTCGTGCTCATAAAGAAGAAGTCTTCTTTTCCCTCCCAATTCTGAGAAACCAGTGTCAACACAAAAACAGTTAACTGCCCCTCCCTCCCTGGGAGCACTGATGGGAGTTCTCAAAACAACTGCTTTGCTAACCTGCACCCACCTGTATAGGGATTAGCATAGCTGAGTTTTCACTCATAGGACCGAGATGTTTGTCTTTCTTGTGGCCAGGGAGCTGAATGATCTTGACTCTGTGACCTGAGCTGTGCCATTTAACCTGCCAGGATATCTGTGTCTCCATTTGTGAAAAAGGGATCTTTGGACTCATTTTGTCCACAGGGCTGTGTCGTTTTGAAACCAACACAAAGAAAAGTTCCTAGAGGTTGTGTGGTGCAGGGGTTCTCAAACCATGCTTCCTTAGGATCTCCCACCCCACCCGCCCCGCTTCAACCAGACCAGCCTTCCTATGCCCTGATTTAGATACTGTGACCTTCTGTGGCCTTCAGCGGCCTTCTCTGTGGGCCTTTGTTTAGGTGGGCTCCATTGCTAGAGAAAAACCAGAGCACTGTTATAACTGAACATCTGTGTAGAGGTGAACACCTGTAGAAGCTGAGGCCGAGTGGCAAAGGGACTTGCCCGAGTCACCACCAAGGCTTAAGGTGCTGCCTAGTGCCCAAATGTCAGATTATTGTGTGTATCTCTAAGGGTCAGCTTTTTTTTTAAATTGTGGTGAAAATATACACAACAAAACATTTGCCAATTCAACAATGTCTACATGTATAACTCAGTGACATTACATTCTTCATGCTGTGCAACCATTATCGCAATCCTTTTCCAAGTTATTCTACCACCATTAACATAAATTTAGTGTCCGTATGCAACTGCCCTTCCCCCTCTCACCCCCTGATAATTGCTAATAATCTTTGGTTTCTATATATTTGCTTATTTCATGTAAATGAGATCATAGAGTATTTGTCCTTTTGCAACTGATTTCTTTCACTCAGCATGATGTTTCCTAAGTTCATGCATGTTGTGGCATGCATCAAGACTTCATTTCTCTTTATGGCTGAGTACAAGCATACCTTGTTTTATTGCACTTCACTTTATTGCACTTCGAAGGTATTGCATTTTTTGCAAATTGAAGGTTTGGGGTAACCCTGCCTCAAGCAAGCCTATCAGCACCATTTTTCCAACAGCATGTGCTCACTTCGTGTCTTTGTGTCCCATGTTGGTAATTCCCACAGTATTTCCAACCTTTTCGTTATTATTATACCTGTTACGGTGATCTGTGATCAGTGATCTTTGATGTCACTATTGTAATTGTTTTGGGGATGCCACAAACCATGCCCATATAAGACAGTGAATTTAATTGATAAATGTTGTATGTATTCTGACTGCTTCACCGACCGGCTGTTCCCCTGTCTCTCTCCCTCTCCTGGGGCCTCCCTTTTCCCTCAGACACAACAATATTGAAATTAGGCCAATTAATAACCTGCAATGGCCTCTAAGTCTTCAAGTGAAAGGAAGAGTGGCACGGCTCTCATTTTAAATCAAAAGCTAGAAATGATTAAGCTTAGTGAGGAAGATACGTCAAAGCCAAAACAGGCCAAAAGCTAGGCCTCTTGAGCCAAACAGTTAGCCAAGCTGTGAATGCAAAGGAAAAGCTCTTGAAGGAATTTAAACGTGCTACTCCAGTGAACACAGGAATGATAAGAAATTGAAACAACCTTATTGCTGATAGGGAGAAAGTTTTGGTGGTCTGGATAGAAGATCAAGCCAGCCACAGCATTCCCTTAAGCCAGAGCCTAATCCAGAGCAAGGCCCTAACTCCCTTCAATTCTGTGAAGGCCGAGAGAGGTGAAGAAGCTGCAGAAGAAAAGTTTGAAGCCAGCAGAGGTTGGTTCATAAGGTTGAAGGAAAGAAGCCGTCTCCATAACATAAAAGTGCAAGGTGAAGCAGCAAGTGCTGATGTAGAAGCTACAGCAAGTGATCTGGAAGATCTAGCTCATTTATGAAGGTGGCCACACTAAACAGATTTTCAATGTAGACAAAACAACCTTATATGGGAAGAAGATGCCATCTAGGACTTTCACAGCTAGAGAGGAAAAGTCAATGCTTGGCTTCCAAGGATAGGCTGACTCTCTTGTTAGGGGCTGGTGCAGCAGGTAACTTTAAGTTGAAGCCAATGCTCATTTACCATTCCAAAAATTCTAGGGCCCTTAAGAATTATGCTAAATCTTCTCTGCCAGTGCTCTATAAATGGAACAACAAAGCCTGGATGACAGCACGTCTGTTCACAATATGGTTTACTGAGTATTTTAAGCCCACTGTTGAGACCTACTGCTCAGAAAGATTCGTTTCAAAGTATCACTGCTCATTGACAATGCACCTGGTCACCCAAGAGCTCTGATGGAGACGTACAAGGAGATTAATAGTGTTTTTATGCTTGCTAACAACATCCGTTCTGTAGCCCATGGATCAAGGAGTGATTTTTACTTTCAAGTCTTATTGTTTAAGAAATACATTTCATTAGGGCTATAGCTGCCAAAGATAGTGATTCGTCTGATGGATCTGGGCAAAGTAAATTGAAAGCCTTCTGGAAAGGATTCATTATTTTAGATGGCATTAAGAACATCCCTGATTCATAGGACGTAAAAACATCAACATTAACAGGAGTTTGGAAGAAGTTAATTCCAATCCTCACGAGTGACTTTGAGGGGTTCAAGACTTCAGTGGAAGAAGTAACTGAAGATATGGTGGAAATAGCAAGAGAACTAGAATTAGAAGTGGAGGCTGAAGATGTGGCTGAACTGCTGGAATCTCATGATAAAACTTTAATGGATAAGGAGCGGCTTTTTATAGATGAGCAAAGAAAATGGTTTCTTAAGACGGCATCTACTCCTGGGGAAGATGCTGTGAACATTGTTGAAATGACAGCAAAGGATTTAGAATATGACATATACTTAGTTGATAAAGCAGTGGCAGATTTGAGAGAATTGACCCCAATTTTGAAAGAAGTTCTGCTAGGAGTAAAATGCTGTAGAGAAATCTTTCGTGAAAGGAAGAGTCAATCGATGGGGCAAACTTTATTGTCTTATTTTAAGAAATTGCCACAGCCACCCCAATCTTCAGCAACCACCACCCTGGTCAGTCAGCAGCCATCAACATCAAGGCAAGACCCTCCACCAGCAAAAAGATTACAACTCGCTGACGGCTCAGATGATGGTTAGCATTTTATAGCCGTAAAGTATTTTTTAACTAAGATATGTACAGTGGTTTTTAGACATAATGCTATTGCACACTTAATAGACTACAGTATAGTGTAAACTTTTATATGCACTGAGAAACCAAAAAATTCATGTGATTCACTTGATTGCGATACTCACTTTATTGCGGTGGTCTGGAACTGAATCTGCAGTATCTCCAAGGTATGCCTGTAATATCCTTTTGTATGCATATACCACGTTTTGTTGATTCATTCATTGATGGACGTTTTGGTTGTTTAAGAGTGAGATATTTGATCTCTACCCAGCTGGACCAAACCCTGGCCCTTTGGCCATGTCATCAAAGGGCCTAGGTCTCAGCCAAGATTTCCAATAGACACTGAACTGGCAGAAAGCCTCCACCACTGCCAGGGCACTATCTTTCTTTTTCTTTCTCTCTCTCTCTGTCTCACACACACACACACACACACACACATACACACACACCCTCTCCAGAGGTTTCCCCTGCAATAAGGCCACATCATTGATCTCAGAGGAGGAAGAACGAGTGAAACCAAGGAGGTGGGGAAGGCTGTGACTCAGGGCCACCTCCCAGGGAAATGCCCGTGCGAGGCTTTTGTTCCTCCTGAGACTCATCTGCGCTGCTGCATGGAAGTCACTTCAAAAAAGCTAAAAGTTACCGTCACGATTATCTTAGACTTGTGTAACATAACCACTTTGTTCTTAAGCCTTGTTATTTTTTTTTATTGAGGTAAAGTTAACACAATACAAAATTAATCATTACTCTGAACAATTCAGTGGCATTTGGTACATTCAGTGTTGGGCAACCATCACCTCTATCCAGTTCCAAGACATTTTCATCACCCCAAAAGCAAATCCC